TATTATTTTGATTTAGTTTTAGTTTTTTATTTAAAGGGTTTCATTCTTCCATAGAAAACTTAATTATTTTGATTTTGATTTTGTTTTTTGTTTTATTTGATTTTCTTTCTTTAGAGGCAACGCCACTATTATATGATTTTGTTTTTGTTTTTAGGGTCCGAGCCAGGCTGTTAAAAACTAGGCGCCTATCAAATAATTGCCATCATAACATGGATAAACACTCACTCTATTTAAATGCAATGTGTGTGTGGTTCATACCATTGTCTAAAACTTGCATTACTATATGCTTATTTTTGCATATTATGAAACAGTTCAATTTCTATGCCAATCGTGTGCAATTTCCTATCATTGTTTGTTTTATGTGTTTACACATTATCTTTCTTCTTTTATGTCATACCAATGTCCTTAATTCATTATTTCTTAGGAAAAAAAAATCTGTTTTTTAGTTTTGTATTAGCTTTGGTTTTAGTTTTTGTTTAGCGATTATGGTCAACTTGGTGTAATCTCAGTTGTACGTATGTATAACATCTCGTACCATACACCAATCAGTGCTGGATCTAATCATGTTTTGTCATAGCACAACTTACTTATAATACAGTACTGTGGGATTAAAGTATTCGGCGACGCAGCGTTACTGTTAGTTGGTGAAAGGAGCAGCATGCACCGGGCGATCCAGTACCAACGAAGAAAAACTTGGCTACTACACAAATCGACTGAACCAAGCTGTGGTCAGTCCTTTTCTGAAGCGTGTCAACCTCCGTATAGGCGCCTGCGGTTGTTACAGTGATTACTCGATTCTCCAGTTTTGAACAATTGGTTCGATTTCATCTGCAACCAACCATATACCATGGATGTATCTAGAAGACTCTAGGCTCTAGCTAATTACCTTCTAACTTTAACCACACATTGGTTGATCCTTGTCATGTGTTTTCTGTGAGTGAACAAACAGTGCAGCATGGAGTCATGGACATGAAATGTATAACTGCCAATAGCACTCGCGTGATTAAACAAACACTCCGTGTTACTACTATATAACATATACAACCCAAAGCCAAGACAACATGACTTGCACAAGAACGCCAAGGTTACTGCCGGCTTTCCCATTTCCGTATGTGGAATATTGGGGCAAGACAAATGCATGAGCATGGTACCGCCCCACGCTCCTGCACGGCGATGCTCCGTCCCATCTCGTGCTTTCCGATGCTGTTCTGGCGCTAGTCGATACATCTCGTGGTAACCCATGCAGTCCGTGAACTCGTCTATGCATAGAGCGGCCTCTGCTCCCACGGATCCAACGCGCCACCTCGGATTCGTGTAGGCAGGGTCGTTCAACTGCTGGTTTATTCGCTCGACTGTACCGTCCATGGTCGCACTGGCCTCCATCGCCTGATATTCATCCGAAACTACTTCACAGCCGACCCACCATGCACGATGCATGAACGATTGACCATCTGATGGATGTGATGCACTTGGTTCCTTGATTTGATGGCTGGATGTGAATCATCGTGCACAAATCGTGCATGGAGTGCCGTGCGTATAGCAGCGTTGATATTCATCCGCCTCGATTACCATCGCCTGACACGCACGCAGCTTTTCTGCCACGTCTCCATTTCCTGGCGTGCATCTGCCATGCTACCATTGGCTGCCACGCGTCCAGCTTCGGTATCGGTATCGTGGATGAGCGCCGCACGGTGGACAGGTCATGCTAGGTTGCCTCGCAACTTCATCACTGCCATACTTGGCATCATGGTCTACGCCAAGTCTGACTTACTCAGATGTGTCAATTTTATATCTCCTTATGGTTCAGCAATGGTTGCCTTTGTTTCGTTCTCTGTTGATTAACTAATAAAAATTATTGTGTACATCATATTGATGGAGAGGCCGGCGGTTTAACCTTCCTTTCAAAAGAAAAAATAGTGGCCATCATGGTTCCATCAGACTCCCTGCCGGATGGGAGGCCACGGGTGCCTTGGGTTGTGGGTCGGCGATGCGGTACGCGCTGATGAGGCCGGCAAGGATGTTGACGTGGGTGAAGCACCGACTGTTTTTCTTAACACTGGTCCACTTCACTTCACATGGCAATATATGATAAGTATGCCTTTGGTTTTAGCTGCATCGCCTCCTGGTTTATGATTTCTATCCGAACTTGTAGGTTTGTTTTGCAAGAGTGACATCCATGCTAGATCAAACTAGGCTTGAGGTGATGGTACTACCGATACGGTATCGGAATAGAAACCATATTTTTCGATAAAGAGAAATCAACTCCTGGTTATGATTTCTATCCGAACTTGTAGGTCTGTTTTGCAGGAGTGACATCCATGGTAGATCAAACTAGGCTTGAGGTGATGGTACTATCGATGCGGTATCGGAATAGAAACCCTATTTTTCGATAAAGAGAAACAAAGAAAGGACCATAACATCTGGCATGATGATCCCATTGATGTCCAACGTCTTGTTCATTTTTTTTCAAAAAGGGGAAACACCCCAGCCTCTGCATCATCATGATGCACACAACCATTTTTATTAAAAGCAAATAAATAGGTCTGAAACGAACATAGTATCAACTAAAACGACAAAAAGAAAAAGAAAACACCACAAAAGGTGGGTACAAACGAAAGATTACATGACTTAACCACATAATCTATTAGTGACATGCCAGCCAAACCGGTTGAATAACGCCTGTGAAACCATCTCCAAACGGTTTCACCCAAAGGTCATGAGCCCCCCAGCGTCCTCACGCTGAAGTGATGACCACATACCGATCGATGCGGTGGCTCTGAAGATAACCTGCAAAAAGTTAATAGAGCGAGACCTGTTAAAAACAGAGTCATTCCGGCAATTCCAAATTGCCCAAAGTAAGGCACAAACCCCTACACGGATATGACCCTTAAGTTTTTTTGTTGATACAACCAACCAGTTTCCAAAAAAAATTGGAATACTTGTTGGTGGTGTCAAATTATATGCAACATGAACTGTGCGCCAAATCAAAACCGCGAAAGGGCGGGAAATAAAAAGATGTTGAATTGTTTCATCCTTATCACAAAAACAACACTTCTTACATCCATTCCAGTTTCGTTTAGCCAAATTATCTTCGGTGAGGATCACCTCCCTATGAACAAACCACATAAATTTTTTAATCTTTAAAGGTACTTTGATTTTCCATATATGCTTTGTACGAAACACAGGCCCCGTATTAATAAGATCTTCATACATAGACTTGACAGTAAACTCCCCATTGGTATTTAGTCTCCATCTAAAGACGTCAGGCGCATGAGATAGGTTGACCAACATCAACCTACGAACTAAATGGAGCCACGCCATCCATTTATCGCCAATCAAAAGCCTTTTTAATGGGGGAGAATTTCACTTCCCCGGCCTCTGCACCAACTAGGGATACATACGACCATTTTAGTACGAGTACCAAGATAAACATGGTCCTCAGAATTTTTTAAATGAATATTAAGATATTTTTTGATGAGTGGTTTCACCACACACCAAACTTGATCCTCAATAAATGGAGGAAAACTCCTGTGCATCACCTGTCAATTCTAGGAATTGAACTTGGGTCGTTAGGCTGCACAACCGCATGCCCAACCACTGAGCCAAGGCTCTTTTTGCAACGTCTTATTCATTTACTTCTTATTCTGCAGCTGTTATTAGATGTTCATTTCTTTTCTTTAGGTTTTTGGTTTTCTTAAACCTACTAGTCAATGTGTATGTGCAATGCACGTTAATTTGGAAGTATATTAAGTGCATGCGGATATTAAGTAGGATATTATTTGCGTGTTATTATGTGATTAGCATTATATTTGGTATGAAATTAACTGCACGCTAAACGTGTTGAGCGCTCGACATTGAAGTAGTCTAAGTCGTTGGATTGACATAATTTGATGGCCGAGATTAATTGGATCTGCCCCTTTGGGTCTTTTTTATATTGGTATAGATATAGATATAATGGGTTTCTGAGATTCTCCTTGTACCACTACTCTATCATACTCCCTTTGTGCCGAAATATATGTCGTTGAAGCAACTGTAGTTCAGCTTCTCCAACGAAGCAACTGTAGTTCAACTTCTCCAACGACATATATTTCAGTACGGAGGGAGTATTAATGAAAGGCGTTGGCAACATTTTTGACACAAATTAATATGAGAATCTTGCTTCACAATATTTCTAATCCAAATTCAACCTACACGCCAAGCAATACATAGATACTCCCTCTGTAAACTAATATAAGAGTGTTTAGATAACTAAAGTAGTGATCTAAACGCTCTTATATTAGTTTACGGAGGGAGTAGATTTTACCGAAATCCGACCAAGAGTTATTTTAAGATGCAAGGCTTTGTTTGAATGGGCTGGACTGTTCTAGCCATGGTTAAGCTTTAAGAATAGCAAAACAGAGGACACTTGTACTCACTACTTACATCCAATCAATTTTGACATGTGGAAACATCAGCAACAATATTCAAGAAGCCACTCTAGCTGACAGCACAAGCAAAACAGGCGCGGTACATAGAAGAGTTCAAAGCAGAAACTAAGCTAGAGTAAACATCGAACTCTGCTATGTTTCTAGAGTAAGAATGGCCACATAGCAGAGTCCAAAGCAGAAACAAATATTACAGGCGCAAACTGCCATTCAATCAATCTCTTGGAAATTAGCAACTATGTTGTGCAATAACAACATAGCTGCTAATTATCCAAGAGATGTGATTCAATGGCAAGTTTGCACCTTTAATCTTCTACTGGCATATAGCACGCACATGAGCTATTGCTTCAGATTGTAACATGGAACTAAAGCACCGGTCAACATAGCTAGCTTACACCGATAAGTAGAATCTCTACATCTGAAGATGCACACAACTAAACTATTACAGGGTTCACCAAAGTTTAGTTGCAGCCTTGAGGCTGGAAATAAAACATACAACAAGTCATGCACTGAGGGGAAACAACTCTCATGTAGAACACGACCTACGATCTCAATCTCATTGAGCTCGTCAAGAACTCAAGATACCCTCGAGATAGTGACCTTGATGCTGTTAGCAGCGGGCAAGTAAGCAGGAACAGCTGGCACAACCAGTGAGTAACTGCCATCGTCCACCGGTAAGCCGTTGGACAGATTGGTGCTTCTGGGATGGAGATTTGAATACTGATGCCAACCAATGGTGTCGCAGTTGTAACCAACCTGACACCTGAACTTGCGCTCCCCCACAAGGGCATGAGGATGAACACGCAAAATGGAGGCGGCATTGCCGAAAGGCGGCACCGGCGTGAATTTCACCAGGAACAGGCGGCCACCCTCTCTGCTGTGGAGAACATGCATTCCTTCCAGGATCTGCAGGACCGATTCACACCCGAACTTGAACTCAGTTGATGGCCAGCCATGGTCGTCCGTGAAATGGCGCAGGAGCACACCGGTGGACCCGGCAAAGCCACACCCGGCTTCAGGGCAGAAGCAAGGCGCGCGGGGGCATGACTTCTCGTGATCCTTCAGCTCGTGGTAATGCGTCTTGACGCTGCACCCGTACTTGGTGTTGGAGCAAGGGGCCCGGACGGACTCTAGGATCTGCTCGACCGCAATGCAGCGGTTGTAGCCGCCGGTGATCGAGCACACGTGGCACTTGTCCTTGTTCAGGAGGTTGCCATAGCAGGACGAACAAATGATATGGCCCATAACACACTGTGTATCACAAATCAACAAAATGTACAATACTTATCAGAAAGGTACAATACAATCCCTGCTCATGCTACACACATTTTTGCATAGATAGGCCTACCAGTTTGCCACTGGATTACCCGAATCAAAGAGACCCAGTTCTGCGTAGACGGAAATCTGGTGATATAATAAATATACCAATTTCTTAGACTGTTTACACCAATGCCAATGAGGTTAGTTACCCACATAAATTTCTTCAGAAAGTTAAGTTTCCATTGAACAACACAAAACACAAAATCTCATACTTGGGGTGAGATCAGTGACCACCTTTCTGTCCTTATATGAAGACATGATACCAATTTCCTAGACTGTCTACAGCAATGCTAATGAGGCCGGTTACGCTTGTAAACTTCTTCAGAAAGTTAAGCTTCCATTGAAACTACAAAAGGAGCGTTCATGCACAAAACACAAAAGCTTCAGAAAGTTAAGCTTCCATTGAACAGTATAAATTTCTTAGATCAGTGACCACCTTTTTGGCTTTATATGAAGACATGATAGCACTGCTATATTAAAAAGATATGTGTGATTCCAGCCAACCTAAACCTGTAGTAGTCCCTATCAGAACTTCTTGTCTTCTCGCTTTGCCTGCCCCCAACTCACCCCCCAAAAAGGCATGGTATCCCCCAAGTTCCTAAATCTGTAGATCTTGACCAAGACGAGGTTAAAGGGCAAAGGGAGAGAGCGAGGACCTGGAAGACCGGCGGCCGGAGGATGTCGTAGCAGACGCTGCAGTCCAGAGCATCCAGCTCGATGACGCCCCAGTTGCTGCCGACGGACACCATCTGCTCGCCGCCGCCGCCGCCGATGCCCTCCCCCCTGGTCCTCTTACCGCCGCTCACACCGATCTCCCCCTCCGCCTCCATCCTCAGTCCAGATCCTGGCAAGAAGAACTCACTCCAGTAGCCGGATAAGAGGAGGTGGTCAGTCACTGGCTCACTGCTGTGATGGGACGCGGCGAGACAGAGGAAGGTTGGCGAGTAAGCCGGAGAGTGAGTATTTATTGCTGGATGCTGGTTGTAGGCGCTTTCCACGTGGATTAGTTTCAGACGCGTGCAAAGACGACGGGTGTTTGGCTTAGCCTGAAGAGCTGTTTTTTTTTTCTTTTTTGGACAAAGCCAACTGTTTATTTGCAAAACAATGTTCCGAATTTTCAAATTCCGTTTGCATTTAAAAAATTGTGTGTGATTTCAAAAAGTGTTCACATTTGTCAAAAAGAAACTTCAGAATTCCAGAAGTGGTTCGTATGTTTCGAAATATATTTTGGAATTTCAAAAACTGTGTCACATTTTTCAAAAAATGATTTTCAAACTCCGTAAATTATTTGCATTTTTTAATAAAAAGTGGCATCTGAAAATTGTTCACATCTTTTTCAAGAATATTTCAAAAAAATTCAAAATGGTCTTCATATATGAATGCTGATGTGTGTTCTTATATAGATTGCGCTATCTATTATCACTAGCGGTTGAGGGTGAGTGGCTAGTTGCGCGCCTTGAGTGTGTGGTCCCGAGTTCGAGTTCGAGTTCGAGTTCTCGCAAGCTCACTGGTTTCCTATTATTTTGTCGTAAAATGTACACCATATATTTGGAAAAATAATTACCGTGTATTCAAAAAAGTGATAAAAAATATACATAATGTAATTGAAAAATGTCTAGGGTGTACTATTAAAAAATATTTCACGTGTGAGCTAAAAATGTACACTGTGTAATGAGAAAATGTTGACATATGTCAAAAAGAAAACCGATTAAAACATGCAAAGAAACAAAAAGAAAAGCAAAAAAAACCCAAACAATACAAAGAAAACCAAGAAAGAAACTAAAGAAAAGCAAAAGTATAACGAAAAGGGAAAAAAAGGAAAATTGGTGAACAAAAAGTATAATGAAGGAAAAAGATAACTGATGGAAAACAGATAAAAAAAGAAGAAAAGGAGAAAATTAGAGCATTGCACACTAAGGGTGCTAATCACTGGCTGAATATACATGTTTCGCAACAAATTCACGACTAGTTCAGAAGAAACACACCTCAAACTGACAACAAGTTTCAGAGCTAACTAGAGAGCACGCCAGATGTTGCCCTGGCAGCAATGCTTCCGGTATGGTGGTACCTGACCCTGCACATGGTGGAGGTGCATACATTGTAGATCTGCACCTTGAAGCCTAGGTCGGACAGCCTCAGGACAAGTAGGTCGCCGGGGACGACCTTGTGCTTCTAGCACAAGTAGTCTCGGCCCCTCTCCATCATCGTATGCTCGTGGAAGATCTGGACCTGGACCCAAAACTCACACTACTTGTTAGCAAATAGCCTGACGATAAGAGAAGGCTTCAAGACTAGCCATTGCCTTATCACCGGCCTGAAAGCCTCTGTGATGACAAGCATGGCAATGTCGTGCATGTCCTTAATGTGCATGTTGACCCTCAGTGGCTCCCGTGCACCTTCCTCATGGCCAAACCAAGGCTTGGGGCCAATGCCCATCGGCTGGCTCATGGCGGTGACCCTGTTCGATAGGGGCACACTACTAGGAAAAAGTCTAGCAGTAACGCGCGTATTAGGTCTATCACGGCGCTACAACTAACATATATCAGTAGCGCGTCCTGACCCACACTACTGCCATACATGGCTAGCAGCAACGAGCTTTAGCACAACGCGCCACTGCTAATATCTGTAGCGCTTTAATCTAGGGCGCGCCACTGGTAAGGGCGCGCTGCTGCTAACTCCACTCCCCTCGCTATTGTTAGTTTTATTAGTTTTTTTCCTGCATATTTATTTTGTATTTGAACAAACTTTATACAATAATCTTTAGCATATCATACACATACAAATGTAATCATAGCATCCAATCATGTCATCATCATAATCATCATCCAACACAAAGTGGTCTCTGGTCATCATCTCGAAAATAGCGATACAAGTTCTTGCAACTACATCGTCATCCATCCAAACAATGATATACGCGAGAAGAGCTATCACTATGAGTGAGAGCGGAACTATGCGGTACATGAGTTCGTATCCCTCTCTCGCACTAGCGTGAACCTAAATTAACTACTAGTTGTCGCTCGGAAACCGAAAACCGGTACACCTGGACCTGACACTCCGACCACTCGTCGTATACTCCCGGCGTAGCACTTCTTCGCCATAGATGATCTATGCACCTGCATCATCACATGAGTCGATGATATGCAACATATATAGTTGAGCAACAGAAAGAGACAAACTTGGCAAAAATAGAAGCAACATATCATAAGCATAAATAACAACGTTCATCGTACCCAAAATGCCCTAACTAGAGTGATCTTCGCTAGTCGAGAAGGATGGTTTACTTACATCAAAAATAAAGTTTCATCATGCATAACTCAAAGTTTCGTCACACATAAAGTATGGACTAAACAGACACATTGTCATATATCGACAATTACAACATGTCGTGCCATCCATCCAAGTCAGGGAGATAGTCCCCGAGCTTAGTGAAAGGCTTCAGGTCGAGACGTTGAGCGGCTACGCGTGTTCGGACGTCTTCCCGCGACATTTGCCCTTCCTCGTAGAACAACCCTGTTTGGAGGACCTCCTTCATGATGATTTGGGAAAGTTCGCGCTAGATGTGATAGAACTCAGATCAAAGCCGATGATTCTCGATATCTCCTATGTTCCTTGCCCATTGCAGAATATGGGCATCCCCGGATGTAGGTGACATGCAAAGGTTCTGCTGATCCCGTCTGTACTCCAGCATGTGGTGTAGGACATAGAATCCATCACTAAGAGTATCACTCAGTTGCTGGATGCAGCAGAAGTCGGTCTTATGGCTGAAGGCGGGCCTGCCGTTCCTCTACTTCTTGTTCTTGATCTCTCCACCCCGTACGCCGTAGAAAAAGATAGCACTGTCGAGAACACACTTGATGTGAGTGTAATCCTTTTTGTTCATGTTCTTCGACGAGTCCAAGTAAAGAGCATGGGAGTATCGGGCGTAAAGGATGATGAGGATGGCACGCCCGTGGCTGCGCAATATAAGTACACCTCAAATTAATTAGCCTCCACCGTGCAAATGAATGATTGACATCAAAGGAAGGATATCCACACGGATGACTTGCAAGGGATGATAAGGCACGAGAATCGTATCCTTGTCCTTATTGGCGACCATGAAATCAACGATGTAGTCCCTCGCGTATTGACGGTGCTCTAGGCAGACTGCCAAGAAGCCCCTCGTGCATGAAGTACGGGTCAGCGACATAGATATAAGGTATCTCCTCAATCCCGATGATGTAGTTCATGTACAAGGCATAAAGGTGGACAAACGTAAACTCTAGCTTCTTCAAGTGAAACATGTCGAAGATGTAATCCAGTCGAAGGAAGAACTTCTCCGCGGGGAATGAGTCAACGTACAACCTTTTTCACGGCACGTTAACCACGTAGAGTGGGTATCCTGGATTTTCCGAGGCGATTAGGCTTTTCTCTCTCTGCAGCACATCGTCATGAAGTCTCCTTAGATCACCGTGTATGGCCTGTAATGATGCCTCAGGCAGGATTGGTTCACTGGGGATATGGAATTTCGCCACACCGCGGACAGGCATACGGTCTTGAACCCGTGGCTGCGGAGGTGGCTGGATCATAGCAGCGGCTTTATTGTTGCCTTTCCTTGCTCTCTTCCGATGCTTCTATGGTGGAATAGTACATTCAGGCTCCGGAGGCGGCAATTCAGGCACCGACTCATGACGCTCAAACCCTGAGTACTCATATTGCTGAGCCATCAATCCTCCGTCATCAATGGCGCCAGTATTGAGATACTGTTGAGTGACATCGTCATCCTCATCCTCATCTATGGCAATGTCATCATCAACTAATGGAGCCTCTTCCTCACTCAGTCCGCTATCACCCAGCACGATAGGCGATGCTAATTGGGTAGGTGGGGTGCTGATGTTCATACCTTGCAGAGGCTGCGTGGTCCTGGGTGTGCTCCCGGCCCCCTCCAGACGAAGCAGACTCTTTGGCCACAACAGGACCCACGTCTTGCAATCGCCAAGCCGCCGCGGGGTCTCATCGTCATCTCCCCCTAGTACCGGAGTAACCAAATTATCATGGCCCGGTTTGACACTGGCCACGAAAACCTTGAAGACGTGAGGGGCGATCAGCCGGCTGTGGAACAATTTTTCCTTTGGCTTCATTATCGTCGCCTTCCCATGTCCACCTTCTGGCTGTTGACGTCGTATAATATGGTGCATGGGGCGTCGACCTGCGAAGACATGTCTGTGATGTGAGACATCTGAAAGGCAACGAAAACGGGAGATTATACATTTATTGAAGAGGGCCGGTGTGAAAGGTACCATGAGGGCGCCGAGCTCAACCAAAGACGAAGCACCATCAAGCACGTCCGAGACAGAGGACGGGATGCTATGAGCAGGTGCGGGAGCCGGTGCAGGAGCAGGTGCTAGTGTAGGTGCAGGTGTTGGTGCAACGCTAGTCAAGCTGCTCTCGAAAAAGTCGGCAAGGGGAAAGTCTGCTGCATATTTTTCTGGATTTTGCCTGCTCCAACCGATGATAGCTGAAACCAAGACTGTCAGCTCCCATTTTACGGCAGCTACCGCTATTGCGACTGTCTTAGCTGAATTCTTCTCAACCGCAATCTCAACCTTCTTGTCGATGTTTTCTTTAGTTAACCTCCGTCTTTCCTTTCTCTCCTTCGTGGTCTCACCGTAGCACTTCTTCCACGTGGCGCTGTCTCCGACACCGTGCACACGTCCATACGACGACCGAGTGTCCACCGGAAGATGTTTGAATATGTTCAATACCTGGTTTAATGGGGTGTCCACTAGTGCAGAACCGGGCAATAGCACCGGTTCGTAAGGGCCTTTAGTGTCGGTTCCATAACCGGCACTAA